TTACTTTCAATTTCAGATGCTTCTCTTTCTCCGTCCTCTTCCCCGCCATCTTTTTCTCTTTGTTTACTTTAGCAAACTTTTTGAAAGTCTCTGAATATGCTCCTTAACGCTCGCACTTGCCTTGGTAAGTACTCCTTAGCAGTTTTAACCTTTTATGCTTCCGCTCCCCCCCTCAATCCTCTAAAGTCTATGCGTTTGGGAGGCGTCCCTCCCCCGCTCGCCTTATCTTCTGTTCCGTGGGGTGGGGGTAGGGAGCTTCTTTTCTTTTTAATCAATGCTTAATGACTCACGTTCATAATCGGTCCACAGACCTTGTTTACACTCCATTTCACGCTCGATCTCCTGTGCTTGCCCCGGTCAGCGTCACTTAGTCCATTTGGTCTCTCAGCATGAAGAACCATCAGAGCGGAGAGGTGCCTCAATTCTCCGGCATTACACCATCGAAGAGGCAACCTCTCAAAACCTCCATAGCCAGGGTCCCTTCAGCCGGGTCCCTGGGGGAGTAGTGAGCCTGCACACCCCCTCCTTCGGCTGGAGCACAGCTTCACCCCCGGAAGGTCCGGGAGGTGAGTCTGCTAGCGTGCCGCCATCAACCGGAAACCCCCTTAGTTATAACATCTTGATCATAATCTCTCAGTAATGTAAACACCTATATTTATAACAAAGTGTTGCCTGGTAAATAAAAGCAAAGGATGCTATAAAAGGACAAAGGGGGTTTGGAAATGTCTTACTTGGCTCTGTGTTCTCAGACTTGTTCCCTGGAAGCTGATCCTGGAGTTCAACCAATGCTATAGCAATTTCTTCCTTTTTTGTAGCAGCAGAAAGGGGTTTGTCAGATGAAATTAGGAAGATGTGGATATTATGAGTGATGCCTTGGCCTTTTAAAAAAGAAAGGGGCAGCAACAGCCTTCACACTCCAGGCTTCATCTGCAAACTTTTCTTCACCATTGAGAGAGCTGCACACATGATTTATATCTTTGAGTTAATCCTCTTTGGCAGTGGTAGGAATACATTTTAGGGTGTTTTTTTCTTTTTGTTTTGTTTAAACTCCAACTCCAAATTTATATGAGCAGCTATTGGCTCTCTGTGCAGTAACTTGAATAGGAAGAAGTCAAAGATATGAAATGACAACCATGAGGGGAAAGACTTGCTGACCTCCTCTAGAGACCCAAGGGCTGCAAGAAGGTTGCACAGCCTCCCTGGAGAAAGCCAGCCTGGACCCAGAAAACAGCCATAGGGAACTTTCTTTCCTCTTACCTGACAGAACATTTTATGTAACTCGCACTTGCCTGTATACTGCAAATGCGAGGGGAAGGCTACTTTGACCTGTGCCACTGACGAGAGGCCCAAGGGCTGTTGAGGTTTTCTTTTTCTCATTCTGTCACATTGTTTTTAGTTGTAAGCTGACTTGAGGATCATTTGCTCAAAAGCTGGTGTATAAGTCTTTAAAAGAGCGGTAATTTTGTAAATTTGCAATGCGTTTTAGATAATGACTCAACTCATAGTTGCCAAGGCATGTGAATGGGGGTGAAGGAAGGGATGGCAGGGAAGAACCAAGCTCTGTCACACAGGTTGCATATCCCCATCACTGCAGCTTCAGCCTGTTCAGATGCCCTTGATGGTAAATTCTAATTCTTTCTATACTTGAGAATATGATACTCCAATCAGGTTTGTTATGCATATACACATACAATCTAAACAGTTGAACCCACTGAATTAGAATAGAATTATAAACATAAAGGTCTCCCACTTGCTTATCAAACATCTTTGGATCATGTTTCTTAAAAATGTACCAGTTTGGTATAGTGGCTAAGTGCACGGACTCTAATCTGGGAGAACCGGGTTTGATTCCCCACTCCTCCACTCACACCTGCTGGATGACCTTGGACAAGCCATAGTTCTGGCACAGCGTTCTTGAAAACGAGCAGTTTCTGTCAGAGCTCTCTCAGCCCCACCCACCTCACAGGGTGTCTGTTGTGGGGAGGGGAAGGGAAAAGAGTTTGTAAGCCGCTCTGAGACTCCTTTGGGTAGTGAAGGGCGGGGTATAAATCCTGTCTCTTCTTCATGTGTATTAGCACAACTTCTAAATAACAGAGGCCAACAGATGTGCTATTTCAATGGAGTTCTTAGGCATGGGTATTCTGTCAATAGTCTGGACAACTTTATATTTTCCTGAAAATGTAGTCAAGACTGTGATCTTAATGACAATTATGAGACACTATGTTCTAGTGTCTTTATTCTCCATCTTCAGAATTTGTTTGATGTGTAATAAACACTTCAATATTTTTCCCTTAGGTTCTGACCACATCCGAGAGAAGGATGGACTTTGGGCTGTCCTAGTCTGGCTCTCTATCATGGCAGCCCGGAAGCAGAGTGTGGAAGAAATTGTCAGAGAACACTGGGCTAAATTTGGCCGTCATTACTACTGCAGGTAAGAATAGCAATATCTAGATATATGACCAATACACCATAGAGCAGTCTGCTGCTAACCTGGCAGCATTTCAAGTATACAGGTATAGTGGATAGTCTGCTACAGAGTGGTACAAACCCAAAACTGGTTCTCTGCTTAGTGCTAATGCAAACATTTCTCTTTAAGGGAAATGAAATGAAGTCCAATGAAGGCGGCTCACAACAAAATGAAACAAACCAGACAATTAAACCAAGTCAATAAAACAAATCATGTCAATAAACCAAAGCAATAAAACAAGCTAAGCCAATAAAATAAATAAGACCAAGCAATAAAAATATGCCAATATAAAACAGCCAATAAAAGCAACCCAGAGAATAAAAGAACATAAAACCAATAGAGCAGCCTAAAATTATATTGATAAAATGGGCTAGGAACAGACCATAAAACAGGTAAAAGATGGAACCCCTTTGTTAAAAGCCTGAGTAAAGAGAAATATTTTGGCCTGGAGTCCAAAGGAAAAGAAAGTAGACACCAGATGATCCTCAAGGTATGTGTGTATGTATGGGTGTGTGTGTAGAATTCCCTAAGACTCATGAGATCTCTTGTTCTCTTTCTCCTCGGTGCTTCCCAATTCTTCCAGGAATCTAGTACACTAGTTTCCCCATTTTAAGTATACAGGGGCACAAGTTAAACATGTCTTCTTCAAGTCAGATATATTTCTCCGACTGAATAAGGTGCAAGGGAGTTTATAGCAGGAAGGAGTGATGGTGAAAATAACTGGCTGCATGGTGCTTTCAATGGTACCCAATGTTGTTTAATATCTACATGCGCCCCCTTGCCCAGCTAGTGTGGAGTTTCGGACTGGGGTGTCATCAATATGTCGATGACACCCAGTTATTTCTGTTGATTGGTGGCCGGCCGGATTCCGTCCCAAGGAACTTGGCTGAGGATTTGGAGGCTGTGGTGAGATGGTTAAAATAGAGTCCGTTAAAACTGAATCCAGCTAAGACAGAGGTTTTGTGGCTGTGGGGGGGACGACCATGATTGGGTTGCCAACTCCTCACTCTTGAGGGTGTGCCTCTATCACTGGCACAGACCGTCAAGAGCCTGGGCATGACGTTGGATCCCTCCTTGTCTATGGAGGCCCGGGTTGCGAAGGTTGCCAAGCTGGCGTTTTCCCAACTGCGCCAGGTTAGGCAACTGGCTCTCTACCTCTCTCACCCCAACCTAGCCACAGTAATCCATGCAACGGTCACCTCCAGGATAGACTATTGTAATTTGCTCTACATGGGCCTACCTTTGAGCCTGACCCGGAAGCCCCAACAGGTCCAGAACGCAGCTGTGTAATTTGCTCTACATGGGCCTACCTTTGGGCCTGACCCGGAAGCACCAACAGGTCCAGAATGAAGCTGCACAGGTCCTTACCAGGACCCCTTGGACAGCACACATTCAACCTGTTTTGTGCAAACTGCACTGGCGTCCAGTGGCGCACCAGCTCAGGTTCAGGTTTTAACCTTCAAGGCCCTTAGTGGACAGGGACCTACATACCGTTGGGACTGCCTCTCTCAGTATGCCCACAGAACAGCGTTACGCTCAGGGAATAAGAACTTCCTGGTGGTCCCTGGCTTGAGAGAGATCCGGCTGTCCTCAACCAGGGCCAGGGCTTTTTCTGCCCTGGCTCTCACCTGGTGGAATTCTCTGCCAGAAAGCATCCATGCCCTTCAGGAACTACTACCTTTCAGCAGAGCAAGTAAGGCATTTGGTTGTGGACAGCGACGGGACAGTGCGACATCTGGCACTCTCATATACTTCCCCCATCCCTTGCAAACACCCCCCCCCCAAGGCTGGGGAATTGACTTTTCCCTGCCATCTTGGACTGTATATTGTTCTATTTACTGATCTGTTTCTGGGTAGTTTTAATGTTGGTTTTAATTTCAATTATTGTATTCTATTCTGTTGTAAGCTGCCCTGAGCCCTACTTGTAGGGAAGGGCGGCCTAGTAAATCTAATTAAATAAATAAACAAATAAAATTTACCTGTACAACTTTACAAAGAATTTAACCTCTGGGAGTGCCCATTGGGGAGTAGATGTTGTTATGGAACTCTGATCAAACCAATGTTCAGAGTTTCCTCCTTGGTCTGGAGCCTCGAATTTTTAGCAAGCTCAGGGGACTAGCAAAGATGTTAGTGTGTTATAGATTAGTGTGCAAGAAATTATTTTGTGAAGATGAAAGTGAAGGACTAACATCTGGATTGCTCCACCCATCCACATTTCCAGCAGTTTATAGTCCTGGTTCTCATGGCTCTGTTGGGCCTCAACAGATGTCGTAGCATTTGGTGAAATGTATTTCACTGTGCAAAAAATAATAATAAAAGAATAAAAGGAAATGTTCATCTCCCTGTAGTCATCAAAATACTGATTGTGGTTTTCAATGATTCCGCAATTAGCTTTAATTAAAAATACAATTAGCTTTAATTAAAAAATCAGCTGGCTAGGTGACCTATGGTAAGAAACAACAGAAAGAATAAAAATAATAGACACATTTCCCCCTCCTCCCCACTTCCTAGTTGAGATGTCTTTTTATTTTGTTTGACGTTAATTTGTTTTGCTTTGGTTCTCCACATCTGTTGTCAATAATACCTCCCCCTGTAAAAATTGGCTTGAAATGTCACAGTGGTGGAGTGAGCAATGACAGTGAGCTAACTCTTCTTGACTCCTCTACTCCTGTCATTTTCTAGACTAACTAAGGCATTGCTGTGGTTCCTCAGCAAGTAAAGGTCAAGTGTGTAAACACATCAGCTTCTGTCTTGGGGGAGGTAGGTCCAGAGAGGTCTGCCAGAGAAGAACAAGGGGAAGCTTGCTTGTGCTGGATGGGAGGGTAAATTGCTTTGCCAAGGTGTTGGGACACACAGTATTCCTCACAATCCCTTGCGTAGCACTGTGTTGGGACAGAAAGCAAACTTAGATCGACGATGTGTCATTGGCTACTTCTGTATTGGCGTGACCTCAGTTATTAGAATCCCAGCGCTGTTGATGCTAGTTTGGTCTCCAGGACCAAGCTGTTAAGACACTGTTTTCCAAATCTATTAAAATTTGGCTTTCCTTTTTCAAGTTTGCATTAACCTGCTGAAGTTCATGCTTCCCATGTTTCTTCTGTTCTCTTAATTCCTACATTACAAGGTTTGATTATGAAGCACTGGATCCTAGAACAGCATATTTTATAATGAGAGACCTTGAAGCTTTGATCACTGACAAGTCATTCAGTAATCAACAGTTTGCTGTTGGAAGCCACGTCTACACTGTGCAAAAAGCAAATAACTTTGAGTATGTGGATCCTGTAGATGGCACTGTGACCAAAAGACAGGTATGAAAGGAGACAGGTATGAAAGGCAAAGTTTTTTTTTTAAAAAAATCCACCTCAACAGAGTAAGACCAGTTTTGGGGAAACAGTTTGACATTTAGACTTTCATAAAGTTTCTGCTTTACTATAAAACATCATTCCCTGTTAAATGCATGTTAAATTGGAGTGAACATTCAGACTCATTCTACTTTAATCAGCTCACAGTCAAAGCAACTGCATAAGCTGCAAACTGGCTCAGACCTGTATTGATATAGAGCCATAATTCTTAGTCTTTTCAAGTAACATTAAAGAAATTTGTGGACCTCTCAGATGACAGTTGTACAATTAGTATCTGCTGACTGAGAAAATACATAAAAACAAGATGATCAAAATGGCAATGCTTAGTGTGCATATGGATTTGTGGGCCCTTTGCAGTGACTCTGCAGCCCCCAGGGGACCCAGCAAGTTGAGAATCACTGATACAGAATAATGTTCAAATGAAGGGAAAGGCACATTGGCATTCTTGCAATACAGCTATTTAGCTAGTAGAACAATGTTAAATGATATTAAGAAGTGATCAGTTTGAAAACAGTTGTTGCCACAAATACATTGAATTTTCTCTTTACAGGGGCTGAGGATAATCTTCTCAGATGCATCCAGGCTCATCTTCAGATTAAGCTCTTCCAGTCATGTGCGAGCCACTCTCAGGATCTATGCAGAAAGCTATGAAAAGGACCCCAGCAGCCATGACAGGGAGCCACAGGTAAGTGCAAAAGGAAACTGCATTTGGTTTGGGAAAAGCATTTGGTAGAAGAAGTCCTAGGGAGAGGGATATATGAGTTGGGCATCTCTCTGTGTAATCTGACACCCATGTACATCCTAAAGACTCCCTGTGTCTGCTGTGGGGGAGATCTCAGGCTGCCCCTGCATTGAATGAGTGCATCCAAGACTCGGGGGGAAATTCCTGAAAAGCCTGATTCATACATGCAGTTCTCTGATGTTAGGTTAGCTGCATTAGTGAATGAACTTGCCTGTTTTATGCGTTGTTGCAGTGATGAGTATCCTTTAAACTGCCTGCCTGCTAATAGCCAGGGATAATCGGTTGATGTTATCTGAATGGGACCTAATGGCTGGAAATCTCCCCTCCCCCACATCTGGAAAGTGGTAACCCTACAGCAAGGGGGAAGGGCAAAGTAGTGGTTCTGATTCAGTTTGAACTGGGAGATGGAGAGTGTTGAGTTTAGGTGAACTGGAAGGGAATGGAGGGGCAGGATTGCAAGGGTTTAAGAATTGGGCTCAGTTCAGAGATGACATGGAACAAACAGTGATCAAGGGGGGGAACGCGGGGGAACACAGTTCCCCCGGGTGAGGTGCAGGGGGCGGGGCACATGACGAAGCCCCGCCCCTGCTTCCGGCCGCCCTGCTTCCGGCCCTCATTCAGCCAGGAGGAAGCAGGAGAAGAGGGAGGGTAAGTTGCTTCCTCCCCGCCTCTCCCCACCCCTGCCTGCCTGGGGCCAGGGAGGGCCTTGACAGGGCTTCCTCACACTCCTGCTAGCCTTGCAGGTCCACCGCCGGGCCCCTGATGTCAGGGGGCGTGGCATATGCTAATGAGTTATGCTAATGAGTTCCCCTAGCTCTTTTTCTATGAAATGACCCCTGCATGGAACCAAGATCCAACTCACAAATGGTAAGTCTGATCCTGGTTTGTCTTTGACAAGAGCTACTTCTCTCTGCAACATGAGAGAATGTTGCCAAGAAACAAGCCAGGATGAAGCCAGGATATGTGCATTCATACATCTCCTGGTCCATGGGGTCGCGAAGAGTCGGACTCCACTGTGCGACTGAACAACAACAACAACATCGCCTGAAACCATGGTTAAGTCTCACTGTGATTAAACCACTTCCAGCTTTCAAAGGGTAGCTGTCTGCAGCTGAACCACTAGCTCCAGTAGCATCTGAGAGACCAACAAGATTTCTGAGTATTTATTTACTTTTATTATTATTATTTATGCCATGCCCTCCCCACAAGGGCTCAGGGCGGTTTACAGATAGGGGACTTTGTCAAAGCTCATGCCCTCAAAATCTTGTTAGTCTCTAATGTGTTCCTGGACTCAAATCTACAGTTTCAAGTTGTGGCTTCAGATTGTAGTTTGATGGTCCTAAATAAGCACAATGCATGGACTGGTCTGTGTTCAGACACTAGTAATAGTTTATTTAATTAAACCATGGTTTTTGCAAGATGTCTGAACTGAGCCTTGCTCTATTTGGGAATCCAGTGCAGGATCAGCAGTTTTTCTGACTTCTGTCATTGTACATGGCACATTACAAAACAACATGTACCTTGGTGGGGTAACCAATCTGTTGCAGCAAAAGCAACAGTATTTTTGAACCTTAATTATTTATTGTGAGATTTGTTGTGACACAAATTTTCATAGACTCAAGTCCACTAAATCAGGTGCCATGAAGTGAGCTCCAGTCCATGAAAGGGGATGACACAGTAAATCTGTCAGGCTTTAAAAACACAATAAGATTCTAGTCCTGTTTTATCCAGAGGAAGATAATCCTGCCTCTAGACCTCTCACAGCTTAAGGAATTTAAGAGTTTGAGTATGCTGAGCCTTAGCAATAGAGAGTGATTCCCAGGCTGAGCCCTAGCAAGATTCAAATTAAGCCAAAGGGCTAAACTATATGTGACATTAGAGATCTCTGGTTCAGTCTCCTAATGTTTTCTTAAAGGTAGAAAGTAACTCTGAGTCGGGGCTGTGCTTGGAGGGGGTGTTAATATTCTAATGTAAATCTCCCCTGGAGCTGCTGTTAACCATGTGAGGGGGGGCGGAGTTACCCATATTGTACATATACTTGTTTTCCCTTCTGTGGTTGATAGAAATCAGCTTGTCCCTGATGGAAACAGATTAAACTCCCATGCCAGCAGCAGCTTTTTAGCCTTTTGATTCATCTTTTGTGGAAGCAAGTACTGTAAATGAATAATATAAATTGTCAAGAAATCCAGTATGGGTGAATTTGCCATAAGTTATGTGTTATTTATTTAAAGAATTTACATGCCTGCTCACTAGAGACCTGGCTCAAGGTAAAAACAGAACCATAAAATCATAAATAAGGCTACAAATGTAAATATGCCTATTTGTAAGTAAATACATTTATTTATTTTGAAATGATATGTGCTGCCTCTCCAAAGAACCTGCTCAAGGCAACTTGAAAAGTAAAATGTGACAAAATCATTAAACAGCATGAAAATAATTGAAATTAACAAACCTTTAAAAACCTTTAAAAACCTAGACATAGAATAAACATAGCATAAAATATTTAGTACCTAAAATAATTCTCATAAAACAGTTTCAGTTAGACATTTTCTCAAGTAAGCATGGGCCATTTCCAGATAGCTTCTCTGCCCAGGGTTCAGTGCTGTTGGGAAAGCCCCCCCGCCCCGGTTACCAAACAGCACTCCCAGGGTTTTCCTGGCCTTTCTCCAGCCTTTCTCAAACCTGCTTTGTTCCGAAGTTTAGGAAAGACTGCAGTGTGGGTGGGGAAATTCAGACTTTCCAGCCCACATGGCAGCCATTTTTCCTGACCCCGGGGATTTAAAAAAAACCCCAACAGTGCTGAAATATAATTATATCAATTTATAACATTGTAACAGGTTCTCTGAATTATCAGGTTTCACATTTTTAGGTGTCTAGCCATTTCCCTTGTGCAAGAGAAGAGGCTATAATTGACCTTGCGACCTTGATCCGTGCCCCTCCTGGCTCATTAAGTGGGTCACGAGGGGTTTCAAAGTACTCTGCTGGAGATTATTAACAAGTCCCTCTTGGAGGGATGGTTCCCCGGAGCACTCAAGAAGGCGATGGTCCGCCCCCTCTTAAAAAAGCCATCCTTAGACCTAACCGAATTGGCTAACTATTGGTCGGTGTCCAATTTGCCCTATTTGGGCAAACTTATAGAGATGGCGGTGGCGTTACAGCTACAGGGCTTTCTGGAGGATGCTTCAGTCCTAGATCCCTTCCAGTCCGGCTTTCGCCCGGGTCATGGGACGGAGACGGCATTGGTCGCCCTGACTGATTATCTCCATAGGCATCTGGATCGAGGTGGTGTGGCGGCATTGCTGTTGTTAGATCTGTCGGCTGCATTTGATATGGTTGACCATCAGCTGCTGGCCCACCGCCTCGCTGACGTGGGGATTCAGGGGCTTGCCCTTCAATGGTTGGCCTCTTTCCTTCAAGGTCGGGGACAAAGGGTGGCGATAGGGGATCAGCGGTCCTGGAGGCACCCTCTTGAGTGTGAGGTGCCTCAGGGGGCGGTACTGTCCCCAATGCTATTTAACATCTATATGCGCCCCCTTGCACAGATTGCACAGAGCTGTGGGCCTCGGTGTCATCAATATGAAGATGACACCCAGCTCTATCTGATGCTGGGCGGCCGGTTGAACTCCGACCTAGTTGACCTCCATCAGGCATTGCAAGCTGTGGCTGTGTTGGATCCCCAAGCATCGAGAATAAATCCACGTTTTCAAGAAAAGCAAAATTTATTTCAAAGCATTGGAAAGACACTCAAACACGTTCTTTGTTAGAACTGACTACAAACAGTAAGGGCAAGCATAATAAAGGGATTTGAAACAGACACAGAACCAATGGGTCACTTTCCCGCTGGCGGGCGAGAGGAAACGGTTGCGCGCCCTTTCCCTGAGAACCAAGTTATCTCCAGACATATACAGGTGCAGTTCTCAGGCTCTAAAAGCAACAAGCTAGCAATGAAGCGAACTCCCACAAGACGACCTCCAGTTGTTTGGCTTATGCATTACAGCAGAGTACAATAACAGCTCACAGGCAGGGAAGGAGGGGGATGGGGAAACAACTGTACCGAAGTACCAGCAACACAGAACACCATGGCAGCTTGCTGACAGAGATCCGGAAGTCAAATCGGGAAAAGAAAGGGGACCACTGGATCTGTCGTTGCTGGGCGGGAGACCTCCCGGTTTGGTCGGGAACTTCCTGTGGAACTCACGAAGCATATAAGGGGCCCGAATATCCCCTTCTTCCACCCGTTCGCGGTGCTGGGGTCCGAAGTCCACCCATTCAATGAGATACCAGAGCTTACCACGTTTCACTCTAGAGTCAAGGATATCAGCAATCTCGAAATGTTCATCCCCTTCCAGAATAATAGGAGGAGGGGGGGTACCCGAAGGTCTCCAGGATGAGGAGCCAGGATCTTTTTTCAATAAGCTCATGTGAAAAACAGAGTGTAAGGCACGCAAAT